ATAAAAGGAGGGGGAAAAGGACTTAATGTGTACAGATCAATGTACATAAGAGGCAATCAGAAGAAAAAGGGCTATTATTGTATGAGACATCTTTGACAAACCTAATGGTAACCACAAAACAAAAACCCAGACCTGAGACATGAAACATACAAAAAGAGAAAATGAAAATAAATTTTATAGAAAACCACTAAATTAAAATAGCAGACATAAATACAAGGGAAAAGAAACAATGGAGGCCGAGCCAGTTTGGCTCAGTGGATAGAGCATTGGCCTGCAGACTGAAGAGTCCCAGGTTCGATTCTAGTCAAGGGCTGTACCTCGGTTGCAGGCTTGATCCCCAGCCCTGGTCAGGGCACCAGTGGGAGATAACCAATCAATGTGTCTCTCTGTCTCTCCCCTGCTCTTCCACTCTCTCTAAAAATCAATGAAAAAATATCCTCAAGTAAGGATTAATGAAGAAGAAGAAGGAGGAGAAGGAGGAGGAGGAGAAACAACAACAATGGAGACACAGACTATCAGAAAACAAAAGAAAATGCCTGTATTCAGTTCTCATATATCAATAATCAGGCTAAATGTAAATGTACTGAACTCACCAGTCCAAAGACACAGAGTGGCAAGATGGATTATAAAAAGAAGACCCAACTATGTGTTGTCAGCAGGAGACTCATCTCAGCTCCAAAGGCAACATCAGCTCAAAGTGAAGGGATGGAAGATGATACTCCAAGCAAATATAGCAGTAGTTTCATCTGACAAAATGGATTTCAAGATAACAAGACTAACAAGAAACAAATATGGTCATTTTATAATGATGAAGGGGATAATTCACCAAAAAGATATAACATCAATATATATGCACCTAACCTGAGAGCACCAACATATATAAAGAAAATACTAATAGACCTAAAGGGAGAAAATAACAAAAATATAATTATAGTAGGGGACCCAATGCCCCACATCCAAATTGGGAATGAAGAAATAAACTGTTATTATTTGCAGATGAAATGATTCTATATAGAGAAAACCCTAAAAAAGATCCCACAAAAATATTAGAAACGATAAATACAAAAAGCAGATACATTTCTATATACTAACAACCAAATATCAAAAAGAGAGATGAAGGAAACAATCTCATTTACAATAAAATAAAAAGAATAAAATACCAGCACTGGTTGGTGGCTCAGTCCATGCACTGAGAGATCACCAGTTTGATTGTGGGTCAGGGCACATGCCCAGGTTGCAGGCTCAATTCCCAGTAGGTGGTGTGCAGGAGGCAGCTGATCGATTCATTGATGTTTCTCCCTTCCTCGCTCTCCAAAATCAATAAACACGTATTTTTAAAAAATTAAAAAGAATAAAATAGGTAGGAATAGACTTAACAAAGGAAGTGAAGGACCTATACACTGGAAACTACAAGACATTGTTGAAAGATATGAAGAAGATAAAGAAATGGAAAAATATTCAGTGTTCATGGATTGGAAGAATTCACATTGTTAAAATTTCCATATTACCTAGCAATATACAGATTTAATGCAATCCACATCAAAATATCAGTAGCATTTCTTACAGAAATAGAACAAACAAAAAATCCTCCAATTTGTATGGAACTACAAAAGACTTGGAATAGCCAAAGCAATTCTGAGACAAAAGAACAAAGCTGAGGTGTCACACTTCCTGACTTCAAACTATATTTCAAAGCTACAGTAATAAAACCAGTATAAACAGAAAAAAACAGACATAAGACCAATGGAATGGAATTGAGAGCCCAGAAATAAACCCACACATACATAGGCAAATAACTTCCAATGAAGGAAACAAGAATAGAAACTGAGAAAGGAAATAAGACTAATCTATGGTACTGGGAAAACTGGAAAGCCTCATGCAAAAGAATGAAACTAGGCTGCTGTCTGATAGCATATATAAAAATTAACTCAAAATGTATTAAAGACTTGAATATAAGCCTGGAAACAATAAAATATATAGAAGAAAACATAGGCATTAAACTTATGAACCTTGGTCTCAGAGGGTTTTTTTGTGTGTGAAATTGACAGTAAAGGCAAGAGAATTAAAAGCAAAAATAAATGAATGGGATTACAGTAAACTAAAAAGCATCTGCACAGCAAAGAGAAACCATTAAGAAAACAAAAAGACGACCAACCAAATGGGAGAAAATATTTGCAAATGAAACCTCTGAGAAGGGACTATTATCCAAACTAGATAATACAACTATTATCTATACAACTCAATATTTTTTATTATTTTATTTTTTATATTATTTATTTGTATTATAATACAGCTCATACAACTAAACAACAATCCAATTAAAAATGGACAGAGGGGGAAAAAAATGGTGGAGGTATAGACGGACGTGTCCCGTGCCTTGTCCCGGAGCAGATAAGGGTGAGCAGCTGAAGCGGGTAACATACAGCCCAAATAAGCAGAAGATATTCAGCTGGGAGACAGTTTGCAGCTGGGAAAGGCGGAGGACTCCCAGAGAAAGGGGACAGTTGGAGAAGGTGGCTGGAATCTCTCCCAGAGTGCCGGCTCAGCCGCGGAGACTGCGCCATCTTGAGTGGCTGTTACTGGAAGCGTATTCATCCAAAGTCCCGGCATCCAGAGATCGGCTGCTAACCCGGAAACACTGGATCTGGGACAGCGCGACTACGTGGAGCCCTGCTTCTTCTCACGGAAAGGTCAGGCTTCGCCTGAAGGTACGGTTTGCAATTCAGGTTCGGGAGAGGAACGTGTGCGGGGAGGTCTGTACCCCACAAAGTCCACGGCCTTTGGGGCCAGCATGATCCGCGAGTGTAGAAGGGCTCCCACAGGGCTGGTGGCAGAAGGGAACACTAAAAATAAGCCCATACCTGGACTGGATGCAAAAAGGCAGACTCGGATTTTGCCAGTGTGCTGGCTGCTTAGTGCCAGGGGAGAGAGGGCACGGGGAGGAGACTTCTCACAGAGCTGGAAGGTGGAATATTGTGAATTTGGCAACTTCTCAGGCTCTTGTTTTTCTCTCCTCCCCTTAAATATTTGCCTTTGATTATTAAACCCAGTGCATGGGATTGCCCACTTGGGGACACTCGCAGAGACTGTAGGGGAAAGTTGTTTTTGTGGAAGCTGGGAGACAGAGCAGGGAGTAACGATTAAAGAACCAGTTCTGGGCAGTGGACTTTCCCAAACCAGTTTTAAGTACAATAGAAAAAATAAACCCTAACTACTGGATAGAGAGGACTGATAGCCTCGGAGGTCAATCCAGACACACTGCCACCCAGAGGCAGAGCCACGAACTGACTCTTCTGTAAACACAAATAAAGGCAATCTGGGAAACAAATACGGCCTGCTTTAAAATCAGGACTGTGGTTTACAACATGGAGGAACAGTGTATCGCAGGGAAATTCAACACTCTCCTGAATACCTGGCATGACTAATGCGTGCCAGACAAAAGAGTAGAAGAACTGAAGGACCTTCACTACTGCACATTTTTATTTTTATTTTTATTTTTATTTTTTCACCTTTTAATTAAGAAACCAATTTTTTTTTCTTTTTCATCACCTGATTTTACCCTTTTAATTACTACACTTTTATTTTTAACCAGTATTATTACTACTACCATTTTACCATTTTTTAAAGTGTCATTTTATTTTTTCTTTTTTTTTTATGGCACTTTTCCTATATTTCAGCTGTAAGACACATCAGAGAGAGAAATACACCAAGAAGAAAATTAATATCTACCTTGAGTGTTCACCCTGAAATGTCAGTCTCTGAAGCAGGATAGGCAATGAAAGAAGGACCTAACATGAAAAACAAAATGCATGTAAAGTTTACTATGATGAAGCTACCTGCAAAGAAACTCGCTTCTCCTTCCAAGGCTTGTAACTGAGAATAAGCAATTAAGTTGTTCGGTAGCCAGTGCTGAGGAACTCACACTCCAGCAGCGCCTTGCACGCTTCAGACAAGCTGGAGATAAGATACACACAACCATCGTTCAGAAATGATCGTACTCTGGATGGTCAAAGAAACTTTGAAGGGGCCAGAAAACTTGAAGTCTGCCAATGTGGTGAAGTGTCTTGGACAAAGTACCAATTTTAGGCAGATAGCAAAACTAGAATGTTTCATGGAGTTTCTAAAATTTTGTTCAACTTAACAATTGTCATTCTAATATGGCTTCATGATCTTATAAGTCTTCAAGATTTTACCCATTTTATGTGATCTTACAGATCTATTAAAAACTAGGAAGTGAAGACTCACTTCCAAAAAAGCAGCTCATTGCCAGTTTGTTTCAGAAAATGTCTGCAAAAAATCACTTTCCAACCAAAAATGCATAATCACAGAATATTTAGGCCGGTCCTTCAAGAAAACTACCTTTGCCGATAGTGAATTAAGACCATGATTAAGACAGACATTTCCAAAAACAATCCCAAACATACCCCAATACATTTTCAATTCATCCTGCAAAATATGCACTGCGAATAGTCAAAACATCATTGAATACCTCTGGATGTGACATACCCGAAGATTCAAAGGTTATGTTCTGATTACAATTTTAACTATTTTTGCAATTTCATTTGATTTTTTTAAAGGTAAACACTATTTAATGTTTGATTTTAATCTTCAAAGTGATTTGTAGTGTTTCAATTTTCCATTAGTGAGTCAGAATGGACAGGTCAGATGATAGAATTCAGGGGATGGCAGTGAAAGATCAGAAGAAGGTTTATGTACACATTAGATCATAAATAACCACATCCTCTCGCAAACCCTTGTTCCCATTGTAAACTTTGTTCATATCTCCATATTTGTAAGTCAGAATTAGTCTATAAAAATCACATTAAAAAGGTAAAATTACTTAAGTGAGATATTAACTGATCTGTATTTTATAAATTTTAATCCATAAAAATATAAATAAGAATGGTAAATTTTTAAGAAAAAGAAATATACATTAGTGCAAGTTATGAATTACATTTCTTCAGTGTCAGCAGTAAAATAAATATCTTGAGGAAAGAAAAAAATTACTGATCTAATTTCAAGAAGAAGAAAAAAATTCCAGTGTTTAAACATGCAGTTAATTCCAGATATAGCTAAACAGAATAGTTACTTCTCTTTACTGTCAGAGCAGTAGCACGGTGCTTCCTTATGCTGAACAGTACTTGTATTTCATAGCAGTTTTAGAAATAGAAAATATGCATAAGACCAGGTCACATTATCCGTAAAATCTGAGAGGGGGAAAAACAAAAAGATCCTGAACCACACAGCACAAAGCTGAGAGATCTCATTCATGCTTCATTCAAGATTGTACCTGTTTGATCGGCCTTTGTTATGGTGCATGTGTCGGCTCCAAGCATTCAGTGATGGTAAAAAAAACTACATGGTTAGTGGCATAAGAAACACTCCCTTCTTGTGATGAAACCTCAGTAAAATCACAGTACATCTCAATATGAGAAAGGATTGCTTCAAAAGGGCACACCAATTTAAAGAGGCTTTGTTACAGAGAGAGAAAGAGAGAGAAGCTCTTCTGGAATGTAAAAAGGTAATGCTTAACTATACAATTCATGAATTAAACAGAACAGTTTTGATTAAAAAAGGGCAAGACCTGCAGTCTTATAGATGGCTCAATTCAAAGTAACCCCTCCAGAAACGGGGACTGATAACACGTCTTTGCGATGTTGGAGTAACAGGCCGGGTGCTCCAGGGCTCCAGGGCCCTCTCCTTTGGGGCTCAAGTCTGCACTTTCATGGCACATCCTCAGTTGAACGCATCCAGTGCAGAATGACAGGAGGTGGTTGGCTGCTCTCCTTAGACGGGGAAATACCTCACTCATTTCCTTCTCTCTCCTTTCCCTCCCCCAAACAATTCCTCTGTTCCACCAGCATTATTTGCAAAGCATGTTGCAAAACCCTGGCTTTTATATTTTCTTTTTCTTTCTTTTTTTGTTTAAAGGAGAACTATAGGTAGACGACTCCCTCAGGTTACAGAGTTGTGCTATTCAACAAATGAACTTCCTCTTCTGCCTCCTCTCTGTCCTCATCTACGGGGTTCAGTTGAACATTACCGAAGCGGGGTCTTGGTTTGCCGTCTGGGCCATATGACGGAGGATATCTTTTTTTGTTATAATGCCAAGGAGGCGCCAAGGGTTCGACGTGCTGCTTTAGTTGCTCGAGATGCTCTAATATGTTCTTCTTTGTGATGATCCCCAAGACAATCCCATTGTGAGTTACAAGGCACTGCCTCAGGCCCAGCTTTCGGAAAATATCCACCACGATCTCCATGGGGGTGTGGTCCATCACTGTGAAAGGGCTCATGTCAAGAATGCTGCGAAGCTTCAAGGGCCGCGGACTTTCTGCTGGCAGAGACGGGGTGTGCTGTGCAAAGCACACATGAGAGCTGCCCACGATACCTTCTTGTTTCTTTCTGGCACTTTCTATTGCAATTGTCAGGTCTCTTCTGAGGGCAAATCCTACTAATCTCTGAGGTTCTTTTGACATTATGACAGGAAAGCCATTGTAGCTTGTTTCATTAATCATGTTTTCTATGTCATCCACTGTCATGTTATCTTGTGTCAGGACAGCTAAGGGAGGATCATTCCTTCGAGGTCTCATGACATCAGCAGCCAGGGTGGTATGAGTGAATTCTTCTTTTGCATCCAAGAAAGGGTATCCATTTAACCGAATGTGCGCTTCATAAATGCCTTCCCTACCAAAGGCGTCTCCAACCCATTTACTGGTCATTACTGCAGCCATAAGGGGGACAATATATCCCAGGCCTCCAGTAAGCTCAAAAACAATAACCACCAGGGAGACGGTCATCCTTGTCACTCCACCTAAGCATGCGGCAGCACCAACCATGGCATAGAGGCCAGGAGTAATGCAGTCAGCCCCAACCTCACACTACTTCTTAAAGATAAACCAGTCATGGTGATAATATGCAAGCTGCTCCACTGCAATGCCCACAATCCTCCCTGCAATCGCTCCGATGGCCATGCTGGGGATGAACAAGCCTGACGGAACCTTGATACCAAAAATGAATACTGTCATTATGATTTTAAATATGAGTGCTAAGCATAACTGCCATATAGCTGAATATACTCCGACGCCTGCTGGACGATCAGGAATATCATCAACAATTTTGCTGGCATTCATGTCATTTCTGTAGTCACAAAGAGAAGAGGATTCCAGGGGCCCACAGTCTGTAAAAAGCTCTCTAATCAGTTCACTGGTGTTGAGCCTAGTATATGGATTAGGGAAAGCTATCACAGCAGTGATGGCTGCAACAATAATGACTTCAAGGACAGGATACTTTCCAAATTTGGTGGATTTGCGTCGACAACACCAAGCTATATTTGCCCTAATGAAAAAGGCTCCCCAAAGCCCTCCAAATACCCCGAGGAGAATAAAAGGAAACAGTTCAAAAAGGTACCATGGTGTATGATACTCCACATAAAAAAGGACCAGACGGCTATTACCAAATGGATTAATGGATCTCAAAACAAATGCAGCAACTAAAGCAGCAAAAAAATGATCTCCATAAAGTTTTAAGAGGAAAATAATAGCTAACCTCTTCCAGGCTAAAAAGAACTCCTCCAATCGGTGCACCAAAGGCCACAGAAACACCTGCAGCTGAGGCAGCTGAGAGCACCTCCCTTTTTTTAGCTTCATTTGTGCTATACTTTGGAAAGAGGTAAGAAAAAATATTTCCACAACAACAGGCAACATGTACCAGGGGACCTTCTTTTCCTAAACTCAATCCTGTGCCACAGCCAGTACTAATGTGATGGTTTTAATCATTAAAGTCCATTTTCCCAAGTAACCTCTGATGATGAATCCACTCAAAATAGTTTTAATCTCTGGAATTCCAGAGCCACAGGCATATGGAGCAAATACCTTTATCAAAGAAACAGCAAGAAAGGCAAAACTCAAGGCCCAGAAGATGTACATTATGTAGTTCATGATGTAAGAACCAGGACCCTCTGCTTGACCTATAATTAACTCTGCCCATGTTTTCCACTGTGGACATTTATCCCTCTCCTCAAATGTTGTTTCAATAGATCCCCAACAACACTGTTCATGGTTGTACCACAAAGCATTAAAGCAAATGCCTTCCTTGAGGTCAGTCATCCAATCAGCAGCAATGTCTATTAATCCAGCCAATGCCCCGGATGCCAATCCTGTCAGTGTTACCACTAGCCATCCTGACCACGCATCGTACAAGCTTTTCGTCATTTCCCATGCTGATTCTTTCTTTTTGCTGTTGATCCGTCTATGCCTTTCTCTGTCTTTACATTTCTCCTGGACCCAATCAATAGTATGGAAATCATCATATGTACCAACGCCTGGAATTGGTTCATCCAAAAGATCCAGTAAATGTGTAGAACTGTTAATGCTGCCTCCATTTGTCATTGTGTAATGAGTTCCCAGACTCAGAGGGGGCACAGTGCTGAAGTGAAACACTCAGGTGCGGAGCGCGTGCGGAGCAGCTGGCGGTGGAGGGCGCGGCTGCCGCTCTCAATCGACTCAAACGGGAGAAGCGGGACTGTCTGGCCTCGGTCAGAACTCGAAGGCAGCCCTCTCTCCGAGGCTTGCAGCAGCCGCCGGGACTCTCTCATTTTATTTTTTCTTTATTATATTTTGGGATTAGTGTTCTACATTCTATTTTCATCTTTCCTTTAGCATCATTTTTCTCTACCTCAACGTTACCTTTATGCCGAAACTCTCTACCTCAATTTCCCCCTTTTGTTGCCCTGTTTCTTTTACCCCATTCCTGCTTTAGATTTTCCCTATTCCTTCTTTTTACCCCGTCAAAATTTCACTCTACTTATATATCCAATTTCCAATTCCCTGCCCTAAATCCATATACATCTCTCCCTTATCTTTCTTCACTATCCAATTTTCTCTCTCTCTCTGTTGTTTTGTTGTTGTTTGCTTGATTGTTGAGTATATTGGGGTTTTTTATGCTTCTTTGTGAGGTTGTTTTGCTTTTTCTTTTTATCTTTCTGTTGTTGGTTTTTTTTTCCTTTTTTCTCTCTCTCTTTATTTTTTCTCTTTTTTCCTTTTCCGGTTATTTTTGTGCTTCTATTTTCCCTTGCCTCGCTTGATACTACTAGTTGTTTGTAGTTTGTATTCATCTCCAGGGATCTCTTGCTGGAATTTATTGGGATTAGTGGCAGTTCTATCGGAGTTTTCTCTCCATATAAATAGTCTCTTCCCCTCTTATATTTCATTCTCTCTCTTTTCTCTCTTAGATTTCTTTCCTCCCTTTTCCCAATTTCATTTTTGCACTCCCTTTTTTTCTTTTTCTCTTTTATCTTTTTCTCTTCTTTCTTCCTTATCCCCTAATTCTCTTTGCTCGGGTGGTCACCTTTATTTGGGGTTATTAGTATCATGAATACATTTGTGTTCAGTGCCTTGTACGTTGTGCCTTGTTGTGTTGTATTTTGTGCCTTTAAATCAACACAGCAGAGAGAGAACTACATAACCAAACACCTGGAGAAGAGCAATCATGGTGAAAGAAAGGACCAACCCACATATGAAAGAAAAACAGGCATCACCAGAAAAGGAAGAAAATGAAATGGAGGCAACGGAGGCAAGCAACCTGTCAGAGAAAGAATTCAGACAAATGGTCATAAGGTGGATGAAAAGAATGGAAGACAAATTCAACAATATGTGTAAGAACCAAGAGGAAAGGAAAAATGACATCACTGCTATAAAGAACACAATAGGAAGCATCAACGGTAGACTAGAAGAAGCAGAGGACAACATCAGTGAGCTAGAAGACAAGGTAGGAAAAAATACCCAAGCAGATCAGCTTCTAGGAAAAAAAATTAAAAAGCAGGAGGAGAGCATGAGAGAACTTTGGGAGAACATGAAACAAAACAACATCCGCATAATAGGGGTGCCAGAAGGAGAGGAAACTGAGCAAGGAATAGAAAACCTATTTGAAAAAATAATGACAGAAAACTTCCCTGATATAGGGAAGAAAAAAACTCACACAAATCCAAGAAGCTCACAGAGTCCCAAACAAAATGAACCCCAAAAGACCGACACCAAGGCACATTATAATTAAATTGGCAAACACTAATGACAAAGAAAGAATCTTAAAAGCAGCCAGAGAGAGACAGAAAGTCACCTAAAAGGAGCCCCCATCAGACTAGGGACTGATTTCTCAACAGACATATAAGGCAAGAAGGGAATGGAATGAAATATATAAAGTCATGCAAAGGAAGGGTCTGAATCCAAAAATACTGTACCCAGCAAGGCTATCAATCAAAATTGAGGGTGAAATCAGGTGCTTCACAGACTTCGGGAGTCCTTTTGTGGTTTATTACCACCAAATCAGCAATGCAAGAAATGCTAAAGGGTCTGTATAAAAAGAAAAAATAGGAAACGACGAAGGAACACAGGGGTAAAGAATAAAAATAGTGACTAACAAGTATCTATCAATAATAACTTTAAATGTAAATGGATTAAATGCCCCAATCAAAAGACATAGGGTAACTGAGCTGATAAGAAAACATAACCCGTATATCTGCTGTCTACAGGAAACCCACCTCAGAAAAAAAGACACACACAGACTGATAGAGAAGGGATGGAAAAAGGATTTTCAGGCGAATGGAAATGAAAAAAAAAGCCGGGGTAGCAATACTTATATCTGACAAATTAGATCTCAAAGTGAAGGACATAAAAAGAGATAAAGAAGGCCATTTCATAATACTAAAGGGAGCAATCCAACAAGAAGAAATAACTCTGGTAAATATATATGCACCCAATATAGGAGCACCCAAATACATAAGAAATCTTTGGAGGAGATCATGGGAGAGATTGGCAGCAATACAATCATAGTAGGGGACCTTAACACCCCATTATCACCACTAGACAAATCCTCTAAACAGAAACTCAGCAAAGAAACATCAATCCTAAATAACTCACTAGATCAGATGGAATTAATTGACATCTTCAGAACATTTCACCCCAAAGCCACAGAATATACATTATTCTCAAGTGCACATGGGTCATTTTCAAAGATAGACCATATATTGGGTCACAGGAAAAGTCTCTTCAAATTCAAGAAAATTGAAATCATATCAAGCATCTTCTCAGATCACAATGGCATAAACTGTAAATCAACTACAATAAGAACAATCCAAAAAAATCAAACACATGGAGACTAAATAGCACGCTATTAAACAATGACTGGGTTATGAAAGAGATCAAAGAAGAAATAGAAAACTTCATGGCAACAAATGACAATGAAAACACAACAATCCAAAACTTATGGGACACAGTGAAAGCAGTCTTGAGAGGGAAGTTCATAGCTCTACAAGCCTACTGCAAGAAACAAGAAACAATGAGAATAAATCACCTTACCCTACAACTCAAACAGTTAGAAAGAGAGCAACAAGAAAAGCCCAGTGTAAACAGAAGGAAGGAAATAATAGATAAGAGTGGAGATAAACGACATAGAGACCAAAAAAAACAATACAAAAAATCAACAAAACCAAGAGCTGGTTCTTTGAAAGGATAAACAAGATTGATGAACCTCTGGCCAGGCTCACCAAGAAAGAAAGAGAGAGGACCCAAATAAACAAAATCAGACATGAAAGAGGAGAAATAACAACAGACCCCACAGAAATACAAAGGATTGTTAGAAATTAATATGAACAACTCTACTCCAACAAACTAGACAACCTGGAGGAAACGGACATATTCCTAGAAAAATACAACCTTCCAAAACTTAATCTGGAAGAATCTAAAAATCTCAATAAGCCAATAACTATGGAAGAAATTGAAGCAGTCATCAAAAAGCTCCCAGCAAACAAAAGCCCAGGGCCAGACAGCTTCACAGGGGAGGTTTACCAAACATTCAAGGAAGAACTAAAATTTATCCTCCTCAGACTATTCCAAAAAATTCAAGAGGAAGGAACACTTCCAAGCTCATTCTATGAAGCCAGCATCACCCTAATACCAAAATCAGACAAAGACAACAAAATGAAAGAGAGTTACAGGCCAATATCCCTCAAGAACATAGATGCCAAAATCCTCAACAAAATCTTAGCAAACTGGAACCAGCAGTACATCAGAAAGATCATACACCATCACCAAGTTGGATTTATCCCAGGGATGCAAAGATGGTACAATATCCGCAAATCAATAAACGTAATACATCACATAAACAAATTGAGAGAAAAAAACCACATACTCATATCAATTGATGCAGAAAAAGCATTTGACAAAATTCAACAACCTTTCTTGATAAAAATTCTCAGCAAGATAGGAATAGAAGGATCATACCTCAACATAATAAAAGCCATATATGACAAACCCACAGCCAACATCATAATCAATGGGCAAAAACTAAAACCATTCCCCTAAGAACAGGAACAAGACAGGGATGCCCCCTCTCACCTCTCCTGTTCAACATAGTACTGGAAGTACTAGCCATTGCGATCAGACAAGAAGAAGAAATAAAAGGCATCCAAATTGGAAAAGGAGAAGTAAAACTGTCCTTATTTGCAGATGACATGATACTGTACATAGAGAACACTAAAGGCTACATCAAAAAATTTTTAGACTTAATGAATGAATTTGGCAATGTAGCAGGATACAAAATTAATACCTAGAAATCTATGGCATTTCTTCACACCAATAGTGAACTTACAGAAAGTGAGACTAAAAAAGCAAACCCATTTACCATCGCATCAAAAAAATTAAGATACCTAGGAATAAACCCAACTAAGGAGGTAAAATACTTATACGCGAAAAACTACAGGACACTGAAAAAGAGATAGAGGAAGACTTAAACAGATGGAAGAACATACCATGTTCATGGATTGGTAGAATCAATATCATCAAAATGTCCATACTACCCAAAGCAATCTATAGATTCAATGCACTCCCCATTAAACTACCAATGGCATATTTCACAGATCTAGAAAGAACGTTCCAAAAATTCATCTGGAATAAAAAAAGACCTCGAATAGCTGCAGCAATCCTGAGAAAGAAGAACAAAGTGGGTGGGATCTCAATACCAGATATCAAACTGTATTACAAAGCCACTATACTTAAAACAGCTTGGTACTGGCACAAGAACAGACATATAGATCAATGGAATAGAAGAGAGAACCCAGATATTGATCCAAACCACTATGCCCAATTAATATTCGACAAAGGAGGCAGGAGCATACAATGGAGTCAAGACAGTCTCTTCAATAAATGGTGTTGGGAAAATTGGACAGATACATGCAAAAGAATGTAATTAGACCACCAACTCACACCATACACAAAAATAAACTCAAAATGGATAAAAGACTTAAACGTAAGATGGGAAAACATAAAAATACTAGAGGAATCCACAAGCAGCGAAATCGCAGACATATGCCAAAGGAATTTCTTCTCTGATACTGCTCCTAGGGCAATGGAAACTAAAGAGAAAATAAACAAATGGGACTACATCAAAATAAAAAGCTTTTGCACAGCAAAGGAAACCATCAACAAAACAACAAGAAGACCCACTGCATGGGAGAACATATTTGCCAATGATATCACCAATAAGAGTTTAATCTCTAACATTTACAGGGAACTTATGCAACTTAACAATAGAAAGATAATCCAATTTTTGATTGTTAATCCAATCAAAAAATGGCAACAGGCCTAGATAGACACTTTTCAAAAGAGGACATACTGAAGGCCGAAAGACATATGAAAACATGCTCAAAGTCACTAATTATATGAGAGATGCAAATCAAAATGACAATGTGGTATCATCTCACACCTGTCAGAATGGCTGTCATCAACAAATCAACAAACAACAAGTGCTGGAGAGGATGTGGAGAAAAAGGTACCCTTCTGCACTGATGGTGGGAATGCAGACTGTTGCAGCTACTGTGAGAACAGTATAGAGCTTCCTCAAAAAACTAAAAATCGAACTCCCATTTGACCCAGTGATCCCACTTCTAGGAATATATCCC